CGCGCCATATCACCTGACGACTTCCGTATTCAACATGAGTGCAGCAGCCGGCCTGTTCGTTAATGCCCGGAAGTCAAGTTATGAAGAACCTAGCCGTCACAGCTGATCAACAGTGAGGTGAAACCTTTGTGGAGGCTGAACAATTTAAGCACCTTGGCTCTTTTGCTTCCAGCGATGGCATTATCAAGCTACAGTTAGATAGGAGGATTGCCATAACGTCGAATGCTTTTGGAAATTTATTCAATATTTGGACTGAGAAAGAAATTGCTCATGCCATGAAAATCTGTATATACGTAACCTCTGTCAAATCAATGTTAGAGCAAGACATGGAGACAGTTGTTCTAAAGAAGGAGCAAGAAGGACGGTTGAAATACGTATAGCAGCACTGGTTTCTATTATAATGAGGGCTAAACAGCAGGAACCCACCAAGAATGAATCTATTTTCTTCCATGTACAAGTGACCTCGGAAAGGCAGAGACTAAGAAAAAGAGTAAGACCCCATTAAATAAACTGGTTGAGAATACCTCATTTACTCTAGCTCGTGAGCTCTTCGTGAGTGTTTGAGCCCAAACACAACCAATGAGGACTAGGAGGCAAGCATGCAACATGGAAGAACAAGACAGAGGCAGATATACGTTCAGAGAGGAATTTTCTTCTGCGAGGCAGCAACCGATGCTTCACAGCAAATGTGTTGAAAAGCTGCGATACAACGGGCATCACAAACCAGGAGCATTCCGTGGGTCAAAGTGTTAAACTCAACAAACACGATATTGAGAGACAAAGATTCGTGTTCCGAGCCGGTAATACCTCAATTATACGACATTGGCACTACGCCCATCGGTATGTGTAAGCAAGTGAGTGATTTCCTGTACGTTTCAGCTTATGCCATGGCTATCGTGTAGACTGAGGCTTAGGCGACTGCCGGTCAGGAATGAACTGCAAATGAGTTGAACTGCAAAACAATATCAGTCCCTATCGATATGGACGAACTACAACTCTCGACTTCCACGCATAAAGTTCATGAAAAGACACCACAAATTTGAATTCACCTGTAGTTCGGCTGCAGATGACAAAAATATCATACGGCCACCATATTTAATTTAATTTACAATTTGTTTTATGTATTAAGTATGGCGTAATTAGTTAAAAGATGATACTAAATAATAATTAGTTTTCCCGAGACAAACGAGAAATTTTAAAATTTTGCAGCTACGCTTACTTTTAACGCTTCCTCGACTTCAAACAAGTTTTTCTGGCGGTTTCTTTGATTGATGTAATTAATGGGCAGGATGCTGGCGTTACGTTTGCGGTCAATTTCTGCTGCTTGTTGCTCTAAATCCTCTATTTTCTGAGAAATTCGAACAGCCTCCTCTACGTTTCCGTTTTGTTCAGCCAATTCCTATAAATAGAGCGTCAAGCATGCCATAAAACAAAAGGTGAAAACAGTCTTAGAAGGTCGTAAGATCGCGGCAACAGCAGAGACAGACGGTCTCCATCCTGTATCGTCTGTGCTTCACCAGAAGATAATCTTAGGGTGTAACGGAACCCGTAATACGTGAGTCAGTCGACCAGTCTCAAAAGACCCATTTTAGCTGTTTCTACTGGGATCGATATTTATCAGTCATGCCGACAATTCATGACCACAGATGAACATGGGAATGAAAACTGACCTGGATGCATACAACAGCGTATCCATACTCAGGTCTGCCTTAGTCACAGCGATTCGGTAATAATCAACGACTTTAAGCAATTTGCCATAGTTCCAAAGCAACCTGCATGACCCTTGGTAACACAAACGACGACCGAGTCGGTATGACGTTCGGATGTATCAATATCATGAGACATATGGTTAAACTTAAAGGGGGATTTCGCAAGAGTCATCAACAATCATTCGGGCATGAGGCCGATAACAGCATAGTTGTCATAAGAGCTTGATGCTAACAGTCAATTGATACATAAACTAACGCTACGATGATACATCAAAACAAAGAATGACTCAGAAGTATATAAGTAGCAGCCGGGTCGAGGGGGTAAATGCGAATAACGTGCTAGAAACTGTTTAAAAGTACGTCGACAAAGCTGAAAATCAGAAGTCTGTCGTCCAGCATTCATGCACAATCCAGCAACATCTGCACTCCCAAAACGTACAAATGCCCATACAGAGTTGCCAAAAATACACTTTCAAAATTGGATGGTACGACAGGTCCACTAACAGGCAGGTTCCAGAGCAGGTCAGCAATTTTGAGAAACTGACAGAAGAATTCAAAAACTAGCGTATGATTTGGTCTAAAAACGTTCACAAATAATGTGAATGTCTTCAATACCGGAAATCCGCCTGCTGACCGAAGAAGCCAAAATTTGGAAACCATCGTTGAAACAGAACTGAGAAAGAGCAGCATATCTGCCGCATCAGCCAACGATAGGAACATTTGTTCCATGCTTACATATCAGTCTGAGATAACATCTGCAAATGTCATAATAGGAAAAAAAGAAGGAAGGTTTGTAAGCGTTGGATTGTCGGTCTTCTACACATTTTTTGCGCCCTTCATTTTATGAAGCTAATAGTGGGGCTCTGGTGACCATTTCCATGCCACATGCCAGTATTGCTATATGTTTAACGCAATCGATAGCAGCCATATGGTAAGCAGTGTGCAGTGTACTGTTTCTTTTCCACAGAATGGTAATATATCTATCAAACACGAAAGGAAGAACACCGATG